TGGCTTCACTGGGGGAATCAAATTTTTTAAAAAGACACTGAGAGTTAGCAATTTATGTTCCTACAAGTTCTTGGAGCCCATGCTCCACCCTACATGGCACCAGGCTATTCATTATCTTGCTGCTTCTCTCTCTACTCCTCCCATTCTCCTCCTTACCTCCATCCCTTTCCTTCTGGGTTCCCTGAAGAACTCCAAACTCTTCTATTATGAAGAACAATTCCATTTCTTGAGCCTTTTCAAACTCAGTTTTTGGTTTACCTTTGCGAAACCAAACCGATTAAGATACTTAACTCAGGGGAAAAAAATTCAAATATAGGACCAGTCATTCATAAAACATCGTTATAGGAGAAAAATAGCAACTTTTACTCTGCATGGATGAAAGCGTCACGCGGACATTGTCAAGGGTATGCAATATTCACTTTTTGTAAGTAATTCATGTTCTTATAAGGTATCTGCAAAATAATTTGTAACCAACTTATTCTGGATATATTCCAAATTTTCCTAAAGATGTTTTCTTTTTAAAAATAATTTTAATGGAAGAATTTATCACTAAAATTTCTCTTATTTGTGAAGTGTATGTGGGTGCATATATTTTTTACGAAATCTGCCCCAGATTGTCATGAGAAAAGAGTGTATGGAATGACTTTAACTAACTTTCCCTCTTACAGTTTATGATGTTCTTTTCAAAGTCGTGTCTATGTACACAACCAGAATTTGATTTCAGGTATTACTCAATCTACTTTTCCTTATTTGATGATCTGGGTTTCTCATTGAGTATTTATTCTCTTCCCACAGTTTCAATTGTATCCTCCACCTGAATCATGCATAAATATATACTTCTGTCTTGTCCCCTAAGGGTAGCATCTGCTGGCTGCCAGCTGAATATCTTCCCGAGATGTTCTACATGCGTCTCAAAAACAGACCATCCAGAGCAGGAGTCATCATTTGACCCCAGACATTCCCCACCTAGTGTTTCTGTTTTATTCTTTTCCTCTGTTCATTATCTTGAGTCATCACCATCCTCCTAGGGATTTGGGCTTGAAAGCTGTGTAATCTCCAAGTTCCTCCTTCTTTTAGTTCCACACTCAAAAATCTCTTCTCAAATCCTGTTGATTCCGTCTCCAAAATACCTTTTGAATTTACCATCACAGTGACTACCCTCATTCAGGCCTCATCCATAGGTCTCCGTCCACCTTGGTCTTCTGTCCCAGAGCCTCCTACACATGGCTGCTTAGGAAAATATTTCTATAGATTCAGTGATAAGGCTGTTCTCTTTGCAATCCTCAGATGGCTTCATGTCACACATGGAATAAAGTTCAAACTCAACCTCATATTCAAAGCTCTTTGAACCTTGACCTCAGTCTCGTTTCCAGACTTATCTTCAATCTATCAACAAATATTCGTTAAGTCTACTATGTGCCAGGTGCTATGCTGGGCCCTGAGGATACAAGGGTGAGCAACACCAGACCCAGTCCCTGGCCTCACTGCATTTCATCTGGGACATGCTTTCTCGCCCCCTTGAATTTCCAAACCACTCATCACTATCCAGATATGCTTTACGCTTTGCTCTCTCTAAGCTTGTCCTCTATCTGGAGTGCCTTTTCCTTCCCCATAGTCACCTGTCGAATTCTTCAAAAGGTCAGACCTAAATTTTGCTTCCTCCAAAATTTTTCCCAGGTTCCCCCAACCAGGATTAATTCATTTATACTCCACAGGCCCTTTCTACTTCTATTATAATTCATTATGGTACAGAGGAACGACCATGAACCTTGAAGCTAAAAAACACTGGGGTCAAGGCCTGTTTCTGCCACTTACTGACGTTGCAAACTGGAACAAATCACACAGTTCTTCAAAGGCTATTTCTCCACCTGTAAAATGGAGACAATAATATCTAGCTCACGTGGTTGCTATAGGTTAAGCAATACAGATAAAAATAATATGATGGCACACAACATGGTCTATCTTTTATATTATATGTTTGTAGAAATGGCTGATTATTCTATCCCTGTAGGAGTGTTAAAGGGAAATAGTCCATAATAAATTGAAACTTTTACCATGGTGATATCACTTTACCCATTTTTTGAGTTGAATATTGTTGTCATGTATTTAATCCTTTCTCTAAACTGGCTGTTGTATGTAATCTCAATCATCTCCATTCCCAGGTAATATGTATTATCCCTGTGTTTAATATTGTTTATTAGCAATCAGCATTTATTTCCATCCTCTTCTATGCTTTCCCCTGGAAGCTTAAGAAGTACATTTCTGGATGCAATTTAAATTACAACAATAAGATAAACTCAAGATATGTGGAAAAGGGAGGGAAAGTTGAAGGCATTCTTCCAAAAGAAGTGGAGGTAGACATGGTGGCTTTGGCAGATGTGAGTTTTTGCAGGTATGTCCAGACTCCATGTTCTACCAGTAGTGCCTAGCCTTGAGGCTCTTCTTTCCACTAGCTCCAAATAGAGAAAATTTGGAGAAGCGCTCTCCTTGGCCAATGTCCCATGTTCATCCCTTAACCAACTACTGTGGCCAGGGAAACAAAGCTCCCTAAGAATATGGCAACTCTCATTTGGATCATGTAGCCACAGATGATAGCGGTATACTTCCCCAAAGTAAGTGGAGTAACACAGACAAGGCCACTGAGAAGTTATCTTAGCCTAAGCTTCCCAAAAAGCAGTTTTGTGTGAAGGTAGCTTATTTAGAAGTTATCCTAAGGCACAGGAGTGAGGGTCTGGAGGAGTAAAACAGGAAAGGGGGAAAAAAAATCCCATGATGCATTATTGACTTGGTAACCACTATGGGTAGCTGGTGCTCAATCCTGCCAGCATGTATTATTTACTTTGACATGTTAACTTGGCTGAGGGAAGCAACAGTTTCAAGTTTCTTACCGTATGGCTCTGACTGCACAGGTTTGGGAACAAATGGGAGAGTTCTGCCAGCTACTAACTATACATATCCCAACTGCACGCCCAAAAACCAGGGAAATCACCACAGGGTAGACCCCACAGATCCACTGAACCCACTGTGAGACATACTTGAGCTCGAACTCCATTTATCACCTGGCTTCCCAATGGCCCCGTTTTAACTGAAGGATAATGAAGGTACTTTAGGTCCCCTGAGTCAGTATCAACACAGAGCCATGGGCTCCTATATCAAGAGTTGTCAGAAAGTCTGAGGATTCCCTTTGTGCCAGTCCATATTCATCCTGATAAAACAGTCTTAGATGCCTTTAGAGAAGGATCATGGGAACATCTATCATATCTACTTGCAGTTGCATTGCTTTGTCTTTCCTCAAGGGGATCCACCTCTCCTTCAATGAGTGGGCTTTGGGTCTGGGAAATGACGCATTTGGAAACTGGGTGAGGGACTGTTTTTCTCTGAAGTAAAAATTGATGAAGGTTTCTGTTCACCAGCTCTTGATTTTCTGGTTATTGTATAAGTCAAATAACATTCTTGTTGGCTTTCCATCTATCTCACCCCTAGGAACACATGATTTATTAGTTATTACTACAGATTCCTGAGGGTCAAGGCATACTGAATACTACTGTAGCCTCACTGCCCATTATCCTAACAGATAAGTGCTGCCATTGGCCACTGTCATTTCAGAATCCTATCACTCCCTTGACATTAGGAATCTCAATTTCCTGACAACATTCAGTCAACCCCAGACTATGCAAGACAGGTATCACAGAGCTTCTCAAATTGACTGGTGCCCATTAGCAATACTTGCCTCATTGTTTTGGTGAAAGAAGTGTCCTCTGAGTTCTGCTGGGGAACATTGTCAAGTGCCAGCTTCTCTGATCACAAATAATAAATTTATTCTAACATTTTCACCTCTTTGAATCTTCAGACCCTTTCCTCTGTACTATGCCAAGGCAGTTCCAGCATCTCCACCTCATTTATAGTGGGCTATCATAGTGCTCAAGCTTCAAAAAGCCATCTCAGCAGCATGTCAGATAGGCTTTGGTGCTAGGCTCCTGGTGTCTTTGCCAGAACATTGAGCCCCAAGTCGTGGGGGAGTGCTCCCATGTCAATAAACTATACCCCACCCAGCTTTATAATCCCACTCCCACCACCATCCCTGACGAAGTATCCTCAAGATCCTCAGGCATTTGTGTTCCCTAGATTCCCGAAATATTCATATTAACGAGGTCCTGCTATTTCTTTGGCATGTAAGCTACTTTCCTGCAGAATGAACTGTATTTCTGCTCTGGGGCTATGCTGATATCTTACCATAGTTATGGGTCTGAAGGCAATGAGGGAAGTCATGTCAGATCTTGAAGAAGAAAACCATAACCTTGAGAGGAACCTGCTCAGGTGTGATCTTTCAAATGTCTCCAGACAAGAGGAGGTTGCTCTCTTCTACAAAGGTCAAGAGCTGGTGAACAAAAGGCTGATGTCAGTTACCACGATGGAAAAAAGGAGTCCACCTCATTTACTGTAGATCTGTGAGATGCTAGTTCTGCTCTAATGGATGACATTGGCATGGACATCCTCTACACCTGGTAAGGCTTATGCCTTGTGGGAAACTAATAAAAGAATATGAAATCTCAGCATAAGAACAAAGTAAATATATATAATCAGGCTTATTAAATACTCCACAAAAAAGAAGCTACCAAACTGATAGGGGTAAAACATACCTTGGAGCCAAGTTGATGCTGGTCATATTTTATTCAGACCTGGTGTAGCCTGCAGTCAGGACACAACACAGGGAGTCAAGGAGAAGGCCCTGAGCAAGCAGAGGAGCTTGGATGAACTTTTTAGACTTTGGTTAAAGAAAAAAAAGACCCTTTAGGGGCCAGCCCAGTGGCGCAGCGGTTAAGTGCACACATTCTGCTTCGGCGACCCAGGGTTCGCGGGTTCGGAACCCGGGTGAGGACATGGCACCACTTGGCAAGCCATGCTGCGGCAGGAGTCCTACATATAAAGTAGAGGAAGATGGGCACTGATGTTAGCTCAGGGCCAGTCTTCCTCAGCAAAAAGAGGAGGATTGGCAGCAGATGTTAGCTCAGGGCTAATCTTCCTCAAAAAAATAAAAAAAGACTCTTGGCAGATGACCTTCCGTTCTTTTCTTGAAATTATAGTCAAAGTTGTCTTGTCTTCACTTCAGCACCTCTAGAAGTGATCCCCCCGAATAAGCCCTCCAATCTATGGAAACTCCAAACCGTGTGGAGGAGGCAGTGTGATTGTGGCTGTCTACGTATGTAAACAGGTGAGCAGCTATGAATAAATTAGTGAATTCAGAATTCTGTGTCTATGGTGATTTGTTTGAAGTCTTCTTACTCAAAATCTAGCTTAAGGAAGAAAAATACCATTTGTATTTTAATTGAAAGCATTCAGTAGTGAGGAATTTGCTGAATTTTCCCCAAGACATTCTTTTCAATAATTTAGTTGTACTGTAAGCAGTTTAAGAAAAGCTATTTGGACATACTGTTTTAGGAACATTTATACCCTCTACAGAAAAGAATCCAGTATTGTGACACCATCGTAAGCATTTCTCTGATAAGAGGGAATCGATTCCTTACTGTACGACACTGGAGTAGGGCTTACCCAGGGAGTTAAATTCTTTGTTTGGAGTAGGAATGAGGTGAAATAAGCTTTAAGTTAAGAAATTTGGAACAAAGAGGGGAGTCAACGCAGTATCTGGGACAAAGATGGATCTAGGAAACAAAATAAAGATCTAAATGTTAACACATACTAAGGGAGCGATCTTGCCTATAGGAAAGAGAGATCTTCAAGGGCAGCAGTCTGACTGGTCCAGAACTGCCAGAAATGCTTAACCTGGTTTTTAATACAAAGTAAATATTGTCTTCTCCCTTAGTGAAAGCAAATTAATAAGAGATCAATTACGGTGTCTAATCACTGACATCTGCAAGGGGCAAAGGGTTTAGGGATAACAATCAGCCTGATAATCTTGCATGTTTTGTAATGTGTTTTATATCCATTTCTCATTGTTCACATATGTACAACTCATTTCCAAACTGATCTGTAAGTCTCTCAAAGGCGAGGGCCAAAGTACTAATTTTTCAGCAAACAACACAAGGCCTATCATAGTGTCTTACAAAAAAGTCAATGAGCAAATATATTCCATAATTCAGAACACTGTAACACTGTTCTAGTTTTGCTTTTAGATTAAAATTGATCTTGTTGCTAAGAAATTTAACAGATACTCTGCATTGAAATAAATTTGCTTATGTAGTGCCTTGACCTGGGAGCAGACAAACCATGGTATTCTCTTACTTATTAGGTAGGTAAATTCAACCTCTACAAGACCATCTTAAGTGAAAGAAGAGAAGAATACTATTCACCCCGGAGGATTATTATAACCATTCAGTCAGGTGAATTCTGATTTAAAAACATTTATTAAATACCTGTTATGTACTAGGATTATCATGCTGAGCTCTGGGGATAGAATGAAGGGAATATTTTGTAAGACAGTTCACATTCCATAGCACAGGGATTTCAGAACCTTATACCTCACACGGCCTAAAGAATTTTAGAACTCAGAGGGAATGAAGATATCATCTTGATCAATATCTTCACTTCTCAGATGAGTAAACAAGGCCGAGAGAGTTTAAATGAATTCGCCAAAATCACCAACAGGTTAGCTGTAGAGTCAGATTTACAGTCTAGGTCTTCTTGTTCCTGGTACTCTGTTCCCCTGCATCCTGACACAGTATGTCCTCTCCTTGTGGGTAATGCACGGATGCTTTGCTGGAAATAAAGACAGAACTTGAGAACAGCATTTCCTCCACAGTCCTGCCTATTCTCAAATGGAACAGCATTTTATTACTGCCCACAACTTATCTAGTTCACATTTAAAAATAAAAATGTTGTGGAATTTTTTTTTTTCACTGAGGAAAATTTGCCCTGAGCTAACATCCGCTGCCAATCTTCCTCTTTTTTGCATGTGAGCCACCACCACAGCATGGCCACTGACAGATGTGTGGTGAAGGTCTGTGCCCAAGAACTGAACTGGGCCAACAAAATGGAGCATGCAGAACTTAACCGCGAGGCCACCGGGGCTGGCTCTTCAAAAAAGTTGTGGAATTTTAGGGGCCAGCCTGGTGGTGCAGAGATTAAGTGCACGTGTTCCACTTTGGCAGCCCGGCCTTCGCCAGTTCGGATCCCAGGTGTGGACATGGCACCGCTTAGCACACCATGCTGTGGTAGGCGTCCTACATATAAAAAAGTAGAGGAAGATGGGCATGGATGTTAGCTCAGGACCAGTCTTCCTCAGCAAAAAGAGGAGGATGGCAGCAGTTGGCTCAGGGCTGATCTTCCTCAAGAAAAAAAAAAACAAAAAAAAAGTTGTGGAATTTTAGAATTCATCAATATACAGCCACTCTAACATTTTGTCTATTTCTTTAGCCCCTGATCACAAATGCACCCATCAACATAGATGCAATTTTATGAATTGATCTTTTCATTAATAAATCGTAAACATCTTCTCTATGTTGCTACAGTCTCATAAATATACTTTAAACAATTAAGTTTATTGGTAGTTTCCATTATAAAAGACGACAGTTACTCTGGAAAATTTATAATTCAGAAAAGGCTAAAATTAGAGGAAAATACAGCACCTATTATTTCATCACATATAAATTTAACCACTACCTGTTTTTTGGAGTTTTTATTATAATATTTAATGACAGTAATTTTTTATCTTGACAGAAATATATTCTTTATTATAACATATTTAGGTAACCGTGTTGGCATTTCTGGAGGAGGGAGGGGCTTGAATGGGTTGGTAGAATTAGTTTCAGGTTGTTTAGTGCTGTTCAACAATATTTCTGTTTCTCCTTTGAAGCATATGGCAGTATTTCTCTACCCTCTTGAAGTCAACCAAGGCTTTTATCAATAGGATATGAGTGGAAATGACATGTGTTAGTTGAAGGTGGGAGCTTCTAAAAGCCAGTGCACAATTTGCTAAGTTTTCTTCCTCCTGCCATGGTGACCTGCAAAGTACCAGATGGTGGAAGTTCTATCAGCTCGAGTCCTTGTGCAAGGATGATGCAGAAACACGCCCACAGCAGGGCAACAAGAAACATACAACAGGAGCAAGAAATTGTATTTGCTGTTTTAAGACAGTGAGATTTTATTACTGCAGCGTAACCCTAGTCTATACATTCTGACATTTGCTTTAATTTTTGAAGCATTCTATCTGTCTCACATTGAAATGACTGCTGGTGATAGGGTGATCTGACTTTGACATCCGCCACTCCACTGGTCACCAGAGGTCATGTGATTGTACTTTCGGTCTGTTCCTGTTCCATATATCTCCTTCCCAAAGACAAGAGTTCAGTGGGAGAGGATAATCTTCTCAGATAGAAGAGGACCACTTTTTATTTATTTATTTATTTATTTATTTATTTACTTTTGAGGAAGATTGGCCCTGAGCTAACATCCGTGCCCATCTTCCTCTGTGTTATCTGTGAGATGCCTGCCACAGCACGGCTTGATTAGCAGTGAATAGGTCTGCTCCTGGGATTCAAACTGGCAAACCCTGGGCCGCCAGAGCAGAGCTGTGAACCTAACCATTGTGCCACCAGGTGGGCACCGAAAAGGATTACTTTTTAATCAAAGTGATAAAAATAACTGCACTCTCTCCTAAAATCTGAAAACAAAGCAAATTGGGTTTTTATAAAGAGATTTGTGTCCTTAACAAGAAAACAGTGTGTTTGGAAAAGTCCTATTATAGATGGTTATAATTCCTTGATTAAAGAACTCAAAGAATAGGCTGCGTAGCACAATCTCTGGCATGTAACAGATATTCAATATACACAAATTCAGAAAGAGAAAAGAGTAAAGTGGAAGAGGAAGAAAAGATAGGGAGAGGGAGAAGGAGGAAGATGAGAAGGAGGCTGAAGACAGACATATACATATATATATATATATATATTCAACCTGAATAAGATAATTTTCAAAAAGAAGGGTATGCCCATGTTGGCATTATCTTAATCAATCAAGAGGTTCTTTATAGCAGCTATGTCTCACAGAGAGACTTCCAATACCACTGGGTCTAAAAAGTCACAAGGCCCAAGTGGCAAAGCAACTTGCCTTGCAGCCCAAACCTAATACAGAGCCTTTTCTTGCTCTGGACGCCACTCAAAACCGGATGCCTTATGTGCTACTTGCTCAAAGAGTCAGAGAATTGTGCTCAAATATGGTATAGGTTGCCTCCAAAATCCAGAGAGGTCTTTTCTTTGTGATGGGAGATGCCAGGTATAGCAATGTGTTTGTAACTTTTAGAGGGGATATTTTAACATGCCTCAGACCACTGTACCCATCGAAACTCACTGGTGTGCCAGACCCCTGAAGTCTCTCAGAATTTGTCTTCCATCCTTTAGTGTACATATTAAGGCATTTAGGGTTCTTGCTTCTTCCTGCTCACCAGGTACAATTAGCATAATGTAACCAATGTAATGGACCATTGTGATAATCTGTGAGATATTAAGATCAAAATTTTCCCTCTGGGTTCTGTTATGACAGCAACAGGAGAGCTCCTATAGCCCTGAAATAAGACAATGATAGTGTTCTATGCTCCCTGCCACATAAAGGTAAACTGCTTCTGCTGACCTTTGCTAATAGGAACTGAATAAAGCATCTTCTAGGTCAGTATCTGCAAACTAGAGGCCAGACTACAAATGACATCATCACCTAATTAGGCTTGCAAAAATCTACATTCATCTTCCAAGACCTATTTGGCTTTTGCCACCAGCCAATGGACAAGTTAAACGGGAAAGTGAAGCAAATTAGCAGGTTTTTATGCAGGGGGAGTCTGGTTCTCTGGGAGCAGGGGGAAGGTAACGCTTCTGCTGGCAAGGACGGTTTAGGGGATACGAGGATTCAAAGTTCTCAGCCCCATCTCCTCTGCTCAAATGTCCTGACCATGTCTTAGTTTCCTACTCCTTTCCTATCGATGCCTTAACTTAGCACAAGAGACTTAATGGTGTTGTGCATTTAACTGATGCTGCAACTCTGCAACCTTTACAGTCAGGCTCTGTGTTTAATTCTCAGTCACACCTGCCCTGAGCATCTTAGACCTAAGGGAGTCCTTTAAAAATGTGGTAGATACTTTCCAATTATCCATCCATGCCCTGAGTTGGGCATTCAGTGCTCTAAATTTGCCCTTTTTTCTAGATATGCTCTTCCGGGTTATCAGACATGGCCATCCCAAGCCACACAATCTTTGTACCTACCATTGTTGCCATAGCCACTAAGTGTCAAGGCCACTTGACCTTCTAGTGCCCTGCTTTTAACCTTCTTTCCATTCCACGCCATTAGTAATCGTGTCCCAATATTCCCCCTTGCAAGATGGTTATCCATGTGGTCTGTTTCCTGGAGCTATCCCATTCTCCTTTAATAGTTCTATCAGTCAGGAACCTGCCAGGAAAGAGATGGAACCCTCAAAAGGGGTGATTAAAGAAATTTTAATGAACTCAGTATTTACAAAGGTGACAAGATATAGGGAAATCCATAAGAGATGGTGGAGTACCATAGGGCTAGCAATAGCAGGCACCATCGCCACCTCTAAACTAGAAAGGGCAAGTAGAGAGAGGGATTATGAAACCAGTGAGAGCTGTAGTCACAGGAGAGGGCTTCCCAGCAGGAACGTGGCCTTTGGTACAGGAATACATAATGTGCCACCCAGCAAAGAAGCAATCTAGGGAATAAATCCATCAGCCTTTCTTTGTCTTCCCATTTCCAGTCTCATGCCAGTGCTCCCCACTGGCTAAACCCAACTGGAAACCTGGTGAACGCTATTGATGAAGGTTAGGATCTTGGGGCACAGAGCAGAGTGTGAAAAGAAGGCAAATGGATCTGAAAGAACAAGTAAAGACTCTGCCCCCTAATCAACCCTCTTTCTTCCGCATTAGTATCCACGATTATTCTTTTGTTTCCAGATGAAAAACTCATTTCCCCAAAATAGGGTACACATGCAAAGTCCGATCAGCTAGTATACCATCCTTGGGTGTTATCAATTCAGTCATATTCTCACCTGAAATCTAAGATGTTAGCCACCACCAATGCTCTTCATACAAGACTGCAGATCTTTTAAAAAGAAGAAAGAGAAACAATTAACCTAAAACATTGCTGGTATTGTCTAAAATGGACAGTATCTAGCACAGCACAGTCCTCTGACACGTTAGTATCTATGTGACTCATAACTGGAGGGCTCTGAGGCAACTGGAGTTCTCTGGAGGAAAATGGTTATCAGATGGAGATGGGGCCAAGACAGAATTAAGTACCAGGATAGCAGGGGCAGAGGGACAAACCAGGAGTTTCTGAGCTGGGTTGTCTTCAATATCAGAGCCCAATTCCAGAGATGTCAGTCCTGACAAGCATGCTCTAGCCCATCTTTAGAGGAAAGAAGGATCCGGACCCAGGGAAAGGACCTAGTAAAAAGTAGGTGATGGGGTGGTTAGAACTCCAACCTGTTAGAGTTAGGCAGGCTTTCAAGACTAGGTACTAATTCTGTCCAGTAACAGGACAGAAGGTTGAGTAGATTAGCCTCTTCCAGCAGAGATTAGATAGACAGGGAGCAGCCCGATGCTCATGTGGCACCCTGTTAATCAACAAATATTGAGCTTTATTATGTGCCAGGCATTGTCCTGAAAACTGGAGATATGGTGTTCAAAGAAGAAAAAAATTCTTGTCTTTATGGAGCTTATGTAGAAGTGAGGAAGGCAGAGTTCAGATAAATTCATTCAAATGGTTAATTAACTATTATAGTAAAACGTGCTGTGGAGGAGAACCGTAGCGTGATATCAGGGCACACCATGGGGACCCAACCTAATCTAGGGTCAGGAAGACTTCTCACGGTCATTAGCCTGTAAGGGTGAGAGGAGCAAACCACTTCCAGACACCTCTCCTCTATGGGGAAAGAGCTCCCAGCCTTGCCTCTGCCAAGCTCCAGGCCTGCACAGAACAGAGCCTGACGGAAGGCTGGCCCTGGAAGAGTCTAGAGGAGACAGAAGCTGCTTCTGGAGGTGTGTGTGCTAATGTGGGGGCTCCAATTCCATTTCCTCTGTAAGTCTAAGATTTCTGTGTGTGTGTGAGAGAGAGAGAGAACACTTTTATGTCTCTGTCTCCATCGCTATTTCCTTTTTGCTCCAATGTTGGGTCTTCAAACTTGGAAACCAAGCCCAGCAAACACTCAAACTGATTCTCAGGTAGCTGAGGCAAATGCTGAATTCTCTCGTTATTCCTGCCTATCCCTTCTTTCTCTTCTTGGCACCTGTGTCTGCACAGCTTTTGATTCTTTCTGCGTTGTGATTAAGAGCTCCAACTCTGAGGTCATATAAACCTAGGTTCTAATTCTGGCCTCCCCAGTTACTAACTGTGTGACCTTGGGCAGGTTCCTTAATGTCCCTTAGCTTCAAGTTCTCCAATTACGAAGGGAGGGTATTAATAGTAGCTACCTCACAGGGCTAGTGTGATAATAAAATGAGATATGCCACGAGAAGGAAGCTCTAGTAATTATTCAGTTTTTCCCTTTTCATCCCTCGGACCTGACAACACAAATCTCACCCCTGAACTTTAACCCCCATCCTCCACCAGGACACTGACTGCAGCTACTCCTAGGTGCTTCTCACTCAGGGCTGCCTCACAGAAACACCTCATCCAGCCTCGTTCTCTAGGGCGCCACGAGAGGGTTGGCCATGAAGTCGGTGCCCACCCCAGGGTATCGGGCAGCTCCTCCTCATCTCCTAACCTCTCGCCTTTCCCTCTCATTCCATACACTGTTCCTAATGTGGATAGAAGGTTTTTTTTTTCATATTTATGGAACAATTTTATGTAAACTCTTCTTAATTTTAAAGTCACCTGAATATAATGTTACACATTTCAGTCTGCAAAAAACTCTGACAACCACAATGGTTTGTACTAATGCTAACGTTTTTCTCTGGTTCTATGGGCCTGGATAGGAACGAAACAGTTCCCCAGCCTGGGACGAGATGATCTCTTGCAGTTCTTTTAGAGATATGAAAACCAAGCTAACGACAAAATAATGAGTTCTGGTCTTACACAATGTGCAAGGCGTGTGTCCAGGCTCTGTTGATAAGTCTGAGGGGTTTGGGGCTGGCATTTCAAGAAAAAAAGAGTACAGTGGTCTATATTTCTTTCTATTTAATCTTTTGTAGGATTTATTTATTTACGCTAGTTTCTTGATTTCTGGATTCGCCAATAAGGCTCCTGATTAGACACACATATTCTTCATTTCGACACTGAATGTATTTTATCATAATGTTTTTCCAACCTTTTTATTTTGGAACAATTTAGATCTACAGATAAGTTACGAAGATAGTACAATGATAAGTTACAAAGATAATACAGAGAATTCTTTTATACGTTTTGCCCAGCTTCCCCTAACGTTGTTATACTCTTCATGACATTTATCAAACCTAAGAAATCAACACTGGTACCGCGTTGTTAACTAGATTACAAAGTTTATCTGAATTTCTGGATTTCACCATTATTCCCACGTATCCTCTTGTTCTGCTCCAGGATTCAGTGGGTACCCCATTGCATTTAGTCATCACATCTCTCTAGTCTCTTCCAATCTGTGATGGTTTCTCAGTCTTTCCTTATGTTTTGTGAACTTGACGCTTGAAGAGCACTGACCAGATATTTTGTAGAATATCCCTCAATTTGGGTTTGTCTGATGTTTTCTCATGGTTAGACTGGAAGTATGGGCTTTTTAGAATACCACCGAGATGAAGTGCCCTTCTCATTGCAACATATCAGGGATACAGGATATCAACATGTACTAATCAACTTACTACCAGTGATGTTAACCTTGATCACTTGGTTAAGGTGGTGTCTGCCAGGTTTTTTCACCGTAAAATTACTATTTTTTCCCTTTTCATGTTCTATTCATTAGAAGTGAGTTACTAAATCCAGTTAACACTCAAGGACTGGGGAAAATGCCTGACGCCTCCTGGAGGGAGCAGTACTGAAGAATTTGTGGACATATCTTAAAACCACCAAAGCTTTAATAAATATTTGGGGGAGCTACTTTGAGGTTATGCAACTATTCTGTTTCTTTTTAAAGTTTCACCCACTAATTTTAGCATTCATCCCTGAATCTTGCCCACAATTATCACTGTGGTGTTAGAATAGGGATTTTCTATTGCCCTCATTTCTTTTACATTTATAATTTGGAATTAAGGAATTTTTCTTTAAGGAAGAGTTTTTCCTTCTTCCCCATTTATTTATTCGTTGTCATTTGTTTATATTGGTATGGACTAATAGACATTTATTTTATTCTTTGAGTTATAATCCAATACTATTGTTATTAATTTTCTTGATCAAATTTTTCCAGGGTTGGCTCAATAAAAGCTCTTTCTATTTCTCTATCTATCTATCAATCAACATCGGTTTATACTGATACCTTTGACTCATCCAACACCACCCAGTTCATTCTAGCCTTCCCTCCTTTGCTTATTTGTAACTTACTGTCTCTGACATAAAGAAACATGACTTCCATTATCCACAATTTATTTACTTATTTATTCAACCTTAGTGTACCTGTCAAGCAGCATCAGAATTGCTAACCTGTACTCTTGTGTGGAACACAGTTACCAACTAGAATACTTGTGTTTTTCTATAGTTCTTATGTCTTTAATCTTATAGTTTTCAGCAAAAACACTGTTTTCCAAAATTACTTAGGTCAGCTCCTTCCCCACACCTCCCATGTAGTTATGTCATACATTTTTCATACAGTTAGATTCATTTGTCATAGTCTTTCCGCATTTGGTCTTGGGATCCCCCAACATTCTGATTTATTTTTTAAAATTCACACACTGTAAAGTTTACTCTTTGTGGTACACAGTTTAGTGGGTTTTACCGATTGCATGAGTCATGAATTCACAAATTCATCCCCATAATACCATACAGAACAGCTCCATCACCATAAAATTGTGCAGCTCCTTTGTAGAGAATTCCTTCCCCTCACCTAACACCTTATCATAATGTTTTTAGTAATAAACATTTTCAAGCAATAAAGGATATTAGCAATCAATTTGTCCAAAATTTTTCCATTTTATAATTTTTGATATTTTTTAAATTTATAGAAGTAATACATACACAGTTTTGTTAAATGGTAGAAAAATGTATAATATGAAAAGCAATTCTCCCTCAGTTGTTTGCATGCATGAAGATGTAAGGGCTTATCTACCTCTATGGGTCTTTTTCTCTCCACTGGTATGCTCTTGTCTGGCCCAGTCTTGGGCCTTTATATCTAGAAGTCTCTCCCAGTAGTTAATGGTTCCAAGCCCCATTCTCAGAAGTAACCAGCACTGATTTTTTTATTTCACATATGAGAAAGTCGAGAATCAGAGATTACTCACACAATTATTTATGGTAAAACTTGAGATGAAACTCAGACTCAAGACTCCCAGCCCATTAGTCTTCCTGCCTCCTGGTGTTTTTGTCCAAAGGCATGTACTCAGATCAATCTGCAACCCAAATATGGATGACTTTGAAATGAATAACTTGTCAAACACCCATGAGGTGGTAAGTAGACATTCTGACCTCAGCTGCTGCAGCTGTAAATAAAGGGCCATTCATGTGTTGGGGCAGGGTCTCAATCCCGATGATTTTTCTTTTCCATGTTATGCCCTGGAGGCCTATAGAAAACCTTTCCACTCTGGCTGCAGCAGAGGTTTAGTAGGGATTTGTAGAGAAGCTTTCACACAGAAGGCCTCAGCAAAGATTTTCTTATGGAAGTCCCTGTTTTGAAACATTTGAGCAGTAGCAATTAGAAGCACAGCATTCCAGAACAATAAAAGCATCATTAAGAAAATCTGTGCCCTTAAAACTGAACTTTGAGGAACTGAAGAGAATGAGAAACTCCAGATTTCAGATACTAGCTGTGACAAAAAGAAGCAACCCCCCAACTGGATCAGTGTGACACTCTGAAGCAAAAGAGATCAAAGAGAGAATGTACGGAGCCAGCCTGACTCGAGAGGAAGAGCTGCCACAGGAACCGAATAGGACATCCTCCTATCGCCTCCTGGCTGAAGGGCTCACCAGCATCGAGACGAGAGGAG